TCAGGTATTAGAGGCAGTGAAGTGGTTTTGGAACAGACTTCAGCACAGGCCATCCATGGACATTGTACGTTCTTGGGCCATTTGTGACCTGGCTTTCGGTGTCTCGCCTGAACATGCCATGGGCTGTCCACCAAGATTTGCAAAGAACAAAGACAAGTCCCACTGACACTGTAGTCTCAGCTTCAGTGGAAATCTTTGTTCTCCCATTCCCTATTTAAAAGCAAAGAAAAAAAACCCAAAATAAATCAAAATGGAAAAACACCAGATTCTGAAAAACAGCCTCTAGTAAAAGCATCCCTTCAGCCTGAGAAAAATCCCTACTAGAGCAGTGTAGTCTAAAAACACAGGAAATCTAAAGAGTAGTTTCAAGTTAAGCTTATTCCTAGGGAGAAGAGTGAGTGTGTAAAACCCCAGGCTTCAGTGAAATGACCTCACAAAACAAAGCAAATAGGGTAAACAGCATGGCTAGCTGACGTTTTCAACCTTGCGTAGCCTGCAGTTTCCCTTTGCGTGTTGTGAGTAGCTTAAATGCAAGGATATACTGGGTGTGAGATGTTTTCCTCTGCGGGGAGCCTCTCCATCGTAAAGGAGATTCATGGGAGAAGCGGACTGGCTTTAATAGCTGTTTTTTAATTGCCCCAATGCATCTGCTCTTCCTTGTCTGTGGGTTCTTGATTGTTTTTCCCTAGTTCTCACTAGCGTCCTTGACTGTTGTTTTGTTTAAGAAGTAAAACAGCTACTACTAGCTTATGTTGCTTATAATAAGCATTTACCTTACTTTTGCATATTTGCACCCAAAAGTACCAAAGCGCTGGGCAAAATATGCTTGCACTGATTCTCACAGCACTCTCGTGAGAGAGCAGAGTCATTTATTCCCTTTTTAACCATGAGGCTGAGGGAGATTAAGCTGCTTTGTGAAGGTTATGCTGGAAAGTATGTGGCAGCTTGGGAATAAATGCCAAGACTCCTGTCTCTGGGTTCCTGAATGTGCTCTCTCCTGAATTGTTTTCCTAGGTAGGAACCAAGTAAAACCAGGAATATTTCACATTGAATTTGTTTAGTAAGTGAAACCCAAATATACGTGGGATGTCTGGAGTGGGAAATTAAAAAAAAAAAAAAGAGGGTGCTGTCTGTCTTTAGCGTTGTTCCCGATGTTAGACATTCGAGACCAAAGCTAAAAATTTTTAGTAGCCAGGTGTTGGAAGGAGAAAGACGTTGCCCATATGTTTAGTGCCACAAGCATCTGTGTACTTCAATGCATCATTTTAAGATCATCCATCTTCTCTTTGGTAGCAATGAACTGTCTGCTGCCATCCTCGGAGCTCTCAAATGGACTCTGGTATGTTGTTCTTCCTTGGTGGACCATTTTCCAAGCAGTGACTGAGTGTGAGCACACAGGCAGCTGCCTGGCTGGGAAATTCAGAGCGCTCTGACAAATTTAAAGTTACTGTCTACAGCTAAGAATGGCTGAAAGGAAGCAATTTGCTTCAAAAAACTGAATATTGGGGGAAAACATCTATTTCTGTAGCAGTTACAAAGAGCAAACTCAGAAAGGTCGATTACAATGGCAGGTAGCAGCTGCCCACAATTTCAAAGGCCTGGAGATAAAATTAAGGGCTTGTAGCTTGAGCCTGGTGGGAAACACTGACAAATCTGAGAAGGGGAAGGCAAGTTCTTTGCACTGACTTTGCTCTGGAAACCTGTAATCACACGAGAGTTGCACTGAAGCCTCCATTTTGTAGGAGTTGGGTTTGTATCTGCAGATTTCAGCATCTCTGGTTGTTTTCTGGGATGTGCGTATCCACACGTATGTGGGATTTCACACAAAAGGAATTTTACATAGAAAAGCTCACGAGCTCATCAGCAACTGTGCCATTTCTGTTGTAGCTTCACCCTAGTCACTGCAATGTCTTTTAGATTCTGGCATGTTGTTTGGGGTTTTTTTTCCCCATTTCAAATTTGAGTTCTAGACTGAGCAGGCTGAAGCTTTCCTTGGGGTGAAAAAGCAGGGCAGCCATCGGGTTGCAGAGCACATGTAAGGCGTTCCCAAAAGCTGTGCTTTGTGTGCACCCCATAAATAAAAAAATCCAAGCAGGAGTAGAGGCCACCAGCCTGACCTGTTGATGCCGATACTGGTGAGGAAACCCATGAGTGCAGCTTCTCCCTGCCCAGGCTGAAATACCAACTGTTGCTGCGACAGATGTGGCAGGACAATGAATGAACCTGGGGAGGAAACACGTGTGAGGTGTTAGTCCTCGCAGGAGCAGATCATAACAGACCTCTCTGCATCACAGGGTCTTGCTCTCGCAGTTCATCTGCTGCTGGAATTATTCATATACTCACTGGTCATCGGCAGTGAGGTTTGCTGGGAGGTGACTGGGGTATAGTTGTTTAAATTATCCGCTCTCCACCAAGGTCTGGGTGTTCTCGTAGGGTGGTTCACAGCATAAACCTGTGCAGTCTCTGATGAATGGATGGAGAAAAGTTTGATTTAAGTAGTTCCAAAGTAAGATCTGTTCATAGCTGAGAGATTAAGCCACTGAATGTCCTGCCTGGTGCAGCTGTGTCTCCTCCCACCTCCCAGCTCTTTATTAGCTTAGAGGCAAACTTGCTTCTCCTTTTTTCCCCACTTTTGGGGTCTCTCCTTCACCTTTTTCTAACCATATCCTCTCATCTTATTACACCTCTTGTCTCAAGTCTGTGGGCTGTGCCACCTCAACTCTCACTAGTTTAATTGTGGAAATTAGTATTTTGAGATGAAGGGAGGTGAGAACTGGTTCCCAACAACTATTGGTGAGTTCATCTTTACATGTTTATTAGCTTTGTCTTGCCTCTTACTGTGGTGTTCCTCTATCTACATGAAGAAGGACCCACAACTGCAGTTTTCTCCACCAGGAGAGTGCAGCAGAGATTGCAGTGTGAGCAGAAAAAAAGACCAAGTAACATACTAGTTCCATGGGCTACAGGGGCTGGTCGCTGCCTGTCTGGGAACCTACTGGCACAGAGATTGCTGTGTGCTGGTTTTCTTTTCCGAGCTTAAAATGCAAGCTCAGAGCTGATCCAAGACCACTGCTGATCCAGTACTGTCTTTCTGGCCACTGGACCAGGACCCTTTTCGAGCTGAGGTGTTGGGTGCCAGGAAGTTGCTGAGATGGAAGCACCATTTGGGCAATAAAACACTTGAGACATTTGTAGCTCTTCATGGCATAGCCTATGTGTCATGTTCTCCTCGTGGTGGACCTCTTCCTCAACTAAGTCACTCCACCAGAGTATTCCTTCTGTCTTTCCTCTATGAGGTTAACTGGGAAATCAAACTGAGCTCTCCACGTCTCAGATGTCTCCCTAGAAAGTTATAGCTGAGATTTCCAGCCATCCCAAAGAGTTGAAGCAACAGCATCTTGCCCTTTCTCCATAATTCTTGTAGATAATGGCATATTTTATTCCTGTGGCTCCTGCATTTGCTGGCCCTGGCCCACAGAGTGTTTTATTGCTTGGAGCTGATGCCGTGAGGATTTATTGTGCTCTATTTAGCCCGACGCTGCTTCATTGCTCCGCTCGGTGCCATCCTAACCCAGCCAACGACCAGGCTTCCTGGGCCCCACGTCAGACCCGTGCTTGCTCTCCATGTGCCGATTGCCGCCGTCCACCGCTGCGGCTGGCGTCGGGCTGCGCGCGCCGGCAGTTCCCACATGTACGTCACCCTCCCAGAGGCTCCCCAGCAGATCTACTCTGATTTCCTTTCAGGCATTGTTTGCAAGAGCCATGAAGTTTAGTGTTGCAAAAACTGAGCTGCTTTTGAGTGATTTGGAGTAGAGGTTTTCATCATCTGTGATGGTTTCTCCTGGCGATTGCTTTCTTTCAGTCATTTATGTAATTGCGGTACTCGGTTTCCTGTGGATTTTTATACTTCATTTGAGATTCATCTGAAGATGGCATGTTCCCATCTCTAGGAATGTGGCCAGATTGAGACATGAACTGCCTAAACTGGCTGCTGAAATTGCAGGCCATATTTCTGTTTCATCCTGAGATGCTGTTCTGATTTTTTGAGGTGTCTAAGACACAGTCTTCCAGTGCCTGCAGTAGCCATCTAATTCACGACCGGGAATATTTTACAGTTAGCCCTCTTCCCATCATACTTAATTCCCACAGTAGCTTCTCATGAAGACCTGTTTCAGTTACACTTGGGTGATATTTTCATTTCTGTTTCAACCGATCACTCCAAATGACGTGTACTAGCATGTACGTGCATGAACAAATCTCTCTCCTTACGGATGCTGTGAGTGCTGCAGAGCCTGGCGCCTGGTCCTGCAGGCACAGAGCTCAGCGACCAAGGAACAAATGGAATTTAACACTTGCAGGGATATTGGTTTTTTCCTAGGTAATTCGTAGAAGCGTCCATTTAAGGGATGCCTGCTCACAGGATAAGGCATAAGGTTTCCACTGATAAAAGTCAAGGACACAAATGTAAGTGAAGGTGCCATGGTACAGCTGTGTGGCAGGATTCAGCCCCTGCCCCATGAACAAAGTAGTTCAGGTAAAGGGGGCTACTAAAGAGAGAAACTTTACAATTAAGAGATCACAGACCTTTTGTAGCAGGCTAGTAGATTAGTGGTTCTGTCAGGATACCCTTTTACTAACACATCATTTAGAAGTTGAACAGCCTGGCAAGCCATCCTAGAAAGGAGCTGGCTCAAAGCATGATGAGATAATTGAACATAAAAAAAACCAAAAAATCAGTGTTTTCAAGGAGTGCTAGGCTAAGGCCTCAGTAGAGTCTGGGTTCCCCCAGTCCTCCCTTCTCTATATGAACACGTGGATAACATGGATCCAAGATGAAGTTCACTGGTTCAAATCACTGGTTTATTCCATTTTTATAGCTGTAACTACAGGATGCGCCAATATATTTTTTCAAAAAAAAAAATTAAATATCCAACCTTTTTGGGTTTCAACTGGAAGGGTTGTGTTTATCTTGGCTAACAATGCCTTATCCTGCTTTCCAGGGCCACCCATTCATCGTGCAGTACAACGATGGGAACGCAGAAGTCGTGTCCATGTGGGTGTGCAGGATGCTGGAGGAACGGCGATCAACCCAAGGACCGCAGTGATCTGGGCCGGCTCGCAGCACCACGCCAGGCAGCAGCTCACCCTGGACTAGCAGCACCAGCCCTGCGCTTCGGACTCTCAGTCTCTCTGGATCATATTTTGCTAAAAATATTTTTTAGAAGCACCAACAAAATCTTTCAGGATATTTGTTGCTGTCTTTCCCTCACCACCACATTAAGGATTTTTCTTCCCACATTTCTTTTGTTGCTGAGCAATTTAATGTCCTCAGATTATCTTCAGTTAAACTGTACACAGCCTTAAAGCAAGTATTTTATATCTATATTTTTTGTTATTGAATGTATTGTATATTTCCTGGCTCCAGAGTATTTTTTAACTGTTAGTCTTTTGCTATTGTACAAATGACCCACTGAGTGTTCAGAGGATCTCGTAAGGAGTTGTTGGCTGTCTGTGACTGCAGACATCCACAAAATGCTGGTTTTAAATGTAAACTGAAAGCAAGCAAGCAAGCAAAAAATTACCTAGACTTGCTCATCCTGTGAGGAGGTGAGGGCTTGCCCCTCCAGAGTTAAAAGCAGGGCAGGTAGGTGGGCATCGCACTACCAAATCACCGGCGGTGCCTCTCTCTGCTCCGGGTGCTGTGGCTTGGGTTTGCCAAGCAGGAACGACATGATCCATAAATGCAGGAAGGTTTTGCTGAGGTGGAAGGAGGTGAGGTGAAAGAAGACAGTGCTCTGCTAAAGCAAGGGGTGCTGCTGGGTGAGCACCAGCCACAGCTTGGTGGCCCCAGAGCCACGCGAGATGGACTACTGGCCTCTGGCCACAAAGGGAGAGCAGCCCCGAGCGCGGGGCTTTGCAGACAGCAGCGGCACAGAGGGTGTGAAGCTCTGCCTGTGCCCACAAGGGAGCTGAGGGCCATGACAGTCTGGGGGGTGGCATGAGAGACTGCGCAGAGGGGCCCAAGCCGTGCTGTGCCACTTGCCCTCATGGCCAGAGACAGACTGCAGGGTTTTAGTTATTACCATGGCTCACTTGGAAGCGTCTTACCTTTCTCAGCTCTACCTTGATCACTTAAACCGTTGGAGTCACTGCATGGTAGGTGCCACTGGGTCAAGCAAAGGCTCCCAGGTTTGCTGTTACCATAAAGGAAAGAAGAGCAATTGCAGCATCTCTGGTGTGTGTTTCTTACTCCTGCAATTCCTGTGTATGTTTCCACAAGAGACTGACACAGATTTAATCAGTCCTTGTGTTAAGACACTTATTAAAAAAAAAAAAAAAAAAAAACACACAGAAGAGAGGATGGTGAAAGGCAGGATTGGTGTGTGTGACTTGGGTGGGGGAGGAGGTTGGGGCTTTTGTCTGCTTGTCTTTGCATTAGAAATAAACTTTTGCTAAAAAAAATGCTCAGGTAGTTTATTATATACCAGCAGCTTAAAAAAAACCCCAACAATTCAGTGAAAAATTCCTCCTCAACCACTTCAAATCCTAAATGTTACTCTGGAAGCAGCTTGGAAAAGACTTTGTTTCCTTCCTTGGAGGGATCGTTTGTCTTCTTTTGAAGTATAGAGGTTGCAGGCATGAACTTATAGACTAAAGTTTGTCTTAATTGCTCTGATGTCACAACCTCCCTGGCAGATAACAGTACAATGAATGAGTCAACAGCCCCCATACCTCCAGGTCCTTTTTCTAAAGTGAGACAAATTTCTTCCCTGTGAGCCAACCAGACTATAGGCAGCTCTTCCATTTATTTATCTCTAACAGTTTGCATTAGCTTTCTCTGGATAAAAAGTCTCTCCCTTGGATTAAGTTAAAAAGTCAGTAAAACCAAGGCTTTTCCTCGTGCTTTCCCTGGCAGGGAGGTCGGGAGGGGAAGACGTCACCCTGAAAATCTGTGCGGGATGCCAGCTGATGGAAACGTGAAAAATCTCCTGGCTAACGGGCTGACAGTGTTATAATTCACCGGCACAGGTATTAACCTTGCTGTCTTCATCAGTATACTTAATCAATCCAGCAATCATGGGGGAGGTTTGAGGCCTCTGTCATCTTTCTGTCCCCAAGTCCTTGAGTTTGGTGCAGATGGGAGGAGGGGGAGCAGCCAGGGGTCTGCTGGGCAGCACCGCTTCCACCCCGCTCCGCTCCCAGTGCCCAGTTAACGCTGTTTCTGGGGGAGTTAGGGCTGGATGGGAGAGCAGAGCAGGCAGGCTGGGATAAAAACAGCTCCTCTTCAGCCCAGCCAGCCTTGCTGCACCCCCAGTGTCAAGCGGCAGTGAGGTGGGGTGTCCCAAACTGCCACCTCCTTGGGGATGGTGGCCCTGGATGGTGGATCTCTTATGGGAGGTCTGGTCTTCACAGCCCATGTTGCGTTGTTGCATGGGAGCTACTGCCCCCCCCCCCAGCACAGCACCTCGCTCTCCCAACCCACGACCTGGCCCTGCTTTGCACATGCGTGTGCAAACCCCTGGTGCCTACAGAGCCTAATTCCAGCAATTCAGCCTGACTCTCGCCACCACCCATCAGCACCAAGAGGCAAAAGTAAGTGGAAAGCCGGGGGAGAGGCAATAAAATTGGGCAGATATGGCTCTGCTGGGTGCCCCCACCCACAGCAAGCAGTCTGCACCCAGGAGAGCTGCTCCTCTCCCTGCAGCATGTGCTAACCCCGTGTCTGTGCTGTGCGGGGCGTCAGGGTGGGCCTGGCGTGGGGCACCCTGATGCAGTGCAGGGTGTCCCATGTGCTGTGTGTCCCCCCCCAAGTCTGGCTGAAGGGATCCCCTGGGGTGCAGCGCTGGGGGCGGCACGACGGAGTAGGGCTGCTGTGCTGCCTTTGGGCTGAGGAAATCCTGCCTGGGCACCAGTGACTTTGAGATCACGAGACATGTGAACTATGACCGGGGCTCTGCCGCCAGCCGTGGGTCATCCTGGCCCCAAATCCCACTCCGGGGATAGGAAAAGCTGGGAGCTTTTCCCAGCTGCCAGGCAGGGCTGGAAGTGCTGGGTGCTGCGGAGGGGCCCAGCCGTGCTGCCCGCTGTGCTGCACTGGAGCTGAGGCTGCCCAAGGACATTGTCCTTCTCTCCTCCTTCCTGCTGCCACTTTTCTGAGTCTGAATCAAGGCTTTTCTCAGCTGAAAAGCTTGCAGAAAGTGCAACGATATTATACCCTCCAGCTGGGTCCTGCTCAGATGACAGCACTGGGGCGGGGAGATGCGTAACAAACACACTAATTCAGCAGTGGATGCTATAGATGAGCTGAGTGACATCTCCCCCCCTCGCC